TACATATTTAATTTCGACAATGAAAAAAGTATGGCTGCAGCTCTTCTGTTTAACAAACAAGTCTGTCTAGGGGCCAACGTCATTACAAATCGTTAACAACCTCTCTGCACCGTTATGTCAGAAAAAAAAAATGGAATGCCCGGTTTGGCCAGCTCTCCTCAGGGTCGTTTTCTTTCATTCTCTCTCTTAATTAAAAAAATAATTCCACAGCCGTTTTGTCACCAGAGTTGGGGTGAATGCCCCTCAGGGTGGGGACTCAAATCCTGGGCTAAGAAGGTTTTTGGCTTCACATAGAATGAATTCCAACATGAGCCGATAGAGAGTTTAAAGTGAAAATAAATGTATTTAGCAGAGAGTAAGTAAGAAAGGAAAGGAAAGGAAAAGCCACCCCCCAGATAGAGTGATGGTCTCTAATTACTAATGGAAGAGAGACACCCTCCATCCCCTGGGCTAGGGTTTATATGTGTTTTCTGTTTCCATGGAAAATTTATTGGTATGGGGGAAAGGAGGGGAAAAAAAACTATAGTACGTTTATCTTTAACTTCTGTAAGATGCAAGAAAAATAGGGGCAGGTTTATCTTTGATGTTTGTAAGGTACAACCTGTATCTTATTTGTGGTGGGTTCAACTACAGGAATGGCCGTCATGGAATCTCTTTGCTTAACAAAGCCTTTGAATGGCTTGTTCTGTACGATTGCTTAATGTCTGCCTGAGTTTTGTGTCTTGGAGCACGTAAGCAGCTGGTTTGGAATCCAACCTCCTAGCTTCTTCTTTTATAAAAGTAGTCCTCATGCCCCTTTCCTATATTATTTTCTCTGCAAAGTGATATGTTATCATTGAAGTTCCCGCTCTATAATCCCAACACCACCCTCATATGACATAGCCCCTCATGGAAAACCATGAGACCATGGAGCCTGAGGCCTAAGTTTTCAGTTTTGTCCTGGGTATTCTGGATCTGTAAGTTTAATGATTCCACACCCCAATTCACCTGCTTCTCTTGGTTCCTGCTGTCTTGCTGGTCACCTGAGAAACCATGGCAATGAGAATGGCCGAACTTCAAAATTGCAGGTATCAGGGACTCCAACTGATCCCATGGTCCAGCCTCAGGCAGATGAAGCATCGCAAACTTGCACTTGACAGATGAAGCAAGTGAGGCTAGAGAAGCTTGGAACTGGCTCAAGATCACTGAGGGGAGGAGGGGCTACCACCCAGGATGTGTGGCTCCTAATATGGTGGGCCCTTTCCTTTAGAATCCACCCATCTAAATCCTTCCTGCACATAAACTTCACCTGGGCAGCAGAGCCTGGTTGAGGACCAGCAAAGTCCCAACTCCCAGAACATTTGCATCTAAATTTGTTTTCAAGCCAAACCCTCCGCCTTCCCCTTCCAGCTAATTGGCTACCCTTAGTCCCTTCCCACATAAAAATTCGCAAAATGAGTAGTATCATCCACTAACATTTTTGGGAATTTGTTAAAATGCAGATCCCCAGACTTCTTATCCAGAGTGTCAGATTCCTCAGGTGTGGGGGAAACCCGTGAAGCTGCCTTGTGACATGCTCCTGGAATGATTCTGTGGTCCGTGGACCATACTTTGAGAAGCTGTCCTAGAGCTACCATATTGATTGAAGATTTCTAAAGTCCACTGTGCCTTAGAGACACTCTTCTCTTTCTAAAATTTAAGACCTGGAGGCAGGTTGCCTGGGAACATGTTTTAAGGAGTTTCAGCAGCAGCTCCCACTCTAACAGGGAATGACCTCCTGTAATTAGTGAAGAGGTTGGGTCTTCGGAGACAGGGCAGGAGGAACTGAGGAGGTTGTTTAAAGGTGACTAGTGAAACCTTAGTGAAACAGCCTAAACTCCTAAGCAGTAAAGGCTTTGATTGCAGACAGTAGAAAATGAGATACAGAGAAGGGAAGAGTTGGTGGAAGTTTCTCCTTGGATTTTGGTTTTAATCTTGAGAAAAGCTGGCAGCTTGGTTCCATGGAGCAATACACTACAGTTCCCTTGAACTTTCAGCTATATTAATGAAATGTCTGGGTCAATTTTTCCATGTGTTCTTCTTTACTTTAAAAAATTTCTTTCGGTAAGCGCTTTATTGAGATATAAGTCACATGTGTCTTTATTGAGATATAAGTCACATGTGTCTTTATTGAGATACAATTCACCCATTTGAAGTGTACAATTCAATGGTTTTTAGTATATTCACAATTGTGCAATCATCACAATTGATTTTAGAACATTTTATCACCTCAAAAAGTAACCCTATATCCTTTAGCAATCACCTTCCCCCCCATTTAATCTTCCCATCCCCCATCCATAAGCAACTATTAACCTCTGTCTCTGTTGATTTGTTTATTCTGGAGATTTCATATAAATGGAATCATATAATATGTGGTCTTTTGTGACTGGCTTGTTTCACTTAGCATAATGGTTTATTTTTTAAAGTAAATTTATTGGGGTGACATTGGTTAATAACATTATATAAATTTTAAGTGTACAACTCTATAATACATCATCAGTATATTGCATTGTGTATTTAACGCCCAGTGTATTTGGGTGTCCTTCCGACACCACGTATTTGACCCCCTTTACCTTTTTAAATCTCCTCCCACCTCCCTTCGCCTCTGGTAACCACCATACTGTTGTTGGTGTCCATGAGTTTGTTTCTTTTATGTTGTTGTTGCTTTCTATTTTATATCTCACATATGAGTGAAATCATATGGTTATCGTTCTTTTCCATCTGACTTATTTTGCTTAGCATTAGCACATTTTCAAGGTTAATTCATATTTTAGCTTGTATCAGTACTTCATTCCTTATATTGCCAAAAATATTCCGTTGCATGGGTTACCACATTTTGTTTATCCATTCACCCACACTTGGATGGCTCCTACCTTTTGGCTATTGTGAGTAATGCTGTTTGTGTACAAGTTTTTGTGTGGACATATGTTTGCATTTCTCTTGGAGTTTTATATATATATATATATATATATATATATATATATATATATATATAATCTCGGAGTGAAATTACTGGGTCAAATGATAACTCTGTGTTTAACTTTTTGAGGAACTGCCAGACAGCTATCTACAGTCCTCACTTTATTTTTCTTAAACCAATATGAAATCAATGGCTCTGACTCATCCTATGGGTGCTTAGTTACATACAGTTCAGCTTGATCAGGTGTAACTAGGGATTTATAGTATGTAAGCAAATGTTAGGGGAAAATGAAGAATCAAGCTTGGGTGACAAAAATCCAAAAATCCAAAGCTCAAATACGCAAGAGTGTTATTTGGCATAATCTTAAAGATTGAGGCAATGTTACATGGATTCGTATTTATGATAAGCAGAAAATGAAACCCACAGCTATGAATGAGGCCAATAACAAAAAAAGAAAAGAAAACTACAATGCAACAACTCTTAATTAGCAGCTTTGGAAAAGGCTTAGTGGCCTGAAAAAAAATAAGATATTGGGTAAAATTATCTATAGATTCTAATTACCCCTGCTATCATGTGTTTCTATGTAGGGAAACAGACTTAAAAAATTTAAGGGTAAAGTACTTAGATATACTTTAAAGTATTTAAGTATAAAATACAAAGGCATGCATAACGTTTAACGCTATGAATTTTCTCAAAATGAACCTCACCCATTTAAGTAGTACCCACAGCAACAAACAGATGGTTATCAGCTCTCCCGGAACTCTTCCCTTTCTAGTCATTAGCCATCCAAAGTGAAGGAGGCTACCTGACTTCTAGCACCAACATTCCTAGACACAAAGGCTGCGTTTTTAATAGTACCTTTCAAGCGTTAAGGATTGACCAGTGGGATCGATTCGTTAAGCTGATAGGATTTCTCAAGACTCAGGCAGATTTTTATATTGCATGATGTAGTAGGATCTTAAACATTAGATACCTTTAAGTTCGTGTATAAAATAAAATGTATAAACTCAGCATATAAGATGCATTTATTTTAATGTGACCTGCGATTGAGGAACATGTACTGTAAAATGTTTTTAAAGTTTTAAAAGTTTTAAAAGACAGATCTCCTTTTCTCCAGGATTTGAAGTTTATTTCCAAGAGGAGTTTGTAAAAGAAGGATTACTAATCACAGGTGCTTTAATAATTCAAAAAGTGTACATGTAAACCAACATGCACATTGGCAATGCATCACATTGTAGGTTGAAGTGAGTAATGACCAAAATAAACATAACCTTTGTAAGCAGGGCATAGAAACAGATAGACATTTCTCTTGGTGTATTGGGCAGAAGGATGTTAAATACCCTTCCCTTACTGATAAAACCAGCTGTCTGATACTGAAACTGACTTACAGAAAAGCAACACTGCTCTGATTCCTAGCCTGGAAAACAATCTCTTATAATCGTTTTATGTATAAGAACACTTTCAGCACATTAAGAATTCTCCCGAGGGAAGTGTATACTACAATATTAGGGAAAATCATTTTGCAAAGGCGAATCACCCTCTTTCTTCTTTCTTAGTAGTTCTAAATATGTCTTATAACTAACCAAAAATAGATTAGGATTTTATTAGGATATTTCTTTGGAAAATTGGGATTCTATGTTGTACCAGGTTATGCCTAAAATATCTCATGAGTCAAGGTGAGGTGGACACAGAATGTAACCTTAGCCACGCGCTGCCGCCCCCCGCCCCTTCTTCCTTTCTGATTCCGGATACTTCGAAGGTAATCTCTTGTTCACACTCACTCCTACCCTGATGCCGGGAAAGCACCCCGGCCACCTCCTCTCCCACTTCCAGGAGGCAGGGGCACAGCGCAATGTCAGCCCGCGCGCACGGTGACTTCGCTCTGCTTGGTCCTTCCCTGAAGCCCTGCGGCTTAGACGTTTCCCACCAAGTCACCCAAAACCCCTCCTCCTATCATCCCACCTCCCCCGGGCGGGGGAGTTTAAAGCCCGGCGCCCTTGGTATTAGAGGTTGCCAGTGTCCCTCTCTTGGCTGGACCAGAAGGGGGCGAGGGACCACCGCGCTTCTCCTGCGCCGCTGCCCAGCCCCAGCTCGGCGGGTGGAAGACAGATGCTTAGGTTGTCAGCCGCCAGCTCCCATGTGCGCTGACCGCGGGGTCCCTCCTAGCTCGAGGGACCTATTTAAAAAATTGGGGCTGGGCACCTCTCCTGGACGCCAGGAAGCGGGTGCGGGTTCGGCTGTGACCCAAAGGCTGCAGCGGCCCGTCGGCGCGCGCGCAGGGCGCGCGTGGGAGCGTGTGGGTGAGAGTGAGGGTGCGCTCGGGGCAGGCCGGAGGCGGACCCGCCGGGTGGCAGGTGGGTGCGGCCTGCAGGAGCCGGGGCAGCGGCGGCGGCGGCAACAGCAGCAAGTGGTTGGGCCGTGCGCATTTCCTTCCCTCCCCCTTGGCCTCCGAGCCCGCCCGCGGTGCCCAGTGCGCGGCGCCCGTGGCTGCGCTCCGCGTCCCCTCCCTGCCGCCACTGGCCGCTCCCTTCCCCGCCCGTCCATGTCCCTGCCCGTGGTGCTCCCGGGATCCTGCTGCCCGGTGGCGGGTCTCTCGGGCGGCCCGCAGGCCGGGGGCCCGGGCGCCGCGGCCGCTGCCGCCCAGGAGCCGCCGCTGCCTCCGCTGCGGCCCCGCTGGCCCCGGGCCGCGCTGCAGCCCCCGGTGCGGCCTCGCTGCTCGGCCACGGCCGCCGCCGTGCTAGCCCCGCCGCCCGGGCTCTCTTCCCGCCGGGCCGCCGCCGCCGCCGCCGCTGCGGCCCCAGGCTCTGCGCTGCTGCCGGCTCGCCCGCTGCTATCGCTCGGGCTGCTGCAGCTGATCCTGGGCTGCTGCATGGTGGCCCTCAGCTTCGGGGCGCTGTCGCTGAGCAGCTCCCCGCAGGTGAAGAACTCGTGCCCGTTCTGGGCTGGCTCCTCGGTGAGTGCCTCGCGCGTTCCGCTTGCCTTCGCAGGGCCCACCCAAGGAGCCGGGGGGGCTCTGGCTGGGCCCCTCCCCTGTGCCACGATTGGGCCCCCCAGGGCTGCAGGTGGAGAACAGCCTCTCAGGCCAGTTGAAGTTTTTTTTGGGGAAAAAAAAAGGCTTAAAGAAAGTGAAGTTCAGGGGTGAATTGGGTTGCACCTGGGCAGTGTCTGTTCCTCTCAGGCTAAAGGATTTTGTTGTCTTTGTCAGGCTAATAGAATAAGACAGACCCCTAGCTCTTTGGGAGATTGGAGGAATGGGGCTGGGTGGCAGGAAAGCGGGAGGGAAATGATTCCACTTCTTTGAGCCGCTGAGTCTTTACTTCCCTGGCAATGTGGCAATGTCCGCGAGGGGAGGACAGGGATTTTGATGTTTTGTTCACTGATGTATCGACAGTGCTGACACATATTAGGTGTATTTGTAGGATGGGTGAAGTGACAGCTTGACAGAGGATGTCACGTAGTTTGTTCCACCTTACAACACACTGTAAATGTGAAGGGTATCTGGTGTAGGATGGCTCCGCTCTATTTGGGGCTGAGTTCAGGAGGTGATGACAGGGTGTGTGTAAACTCCTGCTTGTACCTGGGCAATAAAGGGGGGGGGGGGGAGGACTAAGCCCTCACTTAGTTCCTGAAGCCACACAGGCTGCTGTACAGAATTTAATTCTCCATAACTGGAACCATCATTATGCAAGATCTCTCCAAAGCCAAAGGAGTGGGAACCGCTAGCTGGAGGCGTCTGTCTGGCTCAGGGACCTGGCCCTGCCTCTTCCAATAGGAAAAGCTGATCTGCAGCAAAGGTGCCTGGCCTCCAAGAAAGGCTCCGGCCCCCAGCGCCTGTGGACACTGGGTGGCTGCTCTTGCCAGCCTCATAACAGTTTCACAGCTTGTCAGGCATCCAGCCTCTTGAAGTTTGTCTAGGGTTGAGAGACGTGGAAACAGGTCTTTTTGGAAAGATTGTGGAAGATGAGTAGTTTAAAGTAAATGACCTCTTTATGAACTAACAAAATCTAAAAGTGCCTATAGTTTTGACTAAGATCTGTAATGAATATATGTCATAAAAACTGTCCTTTTGCAGGGCCACACATACCCAGATTCAAGACCAAAATTTTAAGACTATAGGGAGAACTAATTGAACCCAAAGTGATTGTTTGAAAAGAACATCAAGTACCTCAAGTGTGGCCTGATATTTTATACTTAAACTGATGGCAATTTGCTCTCCTTTGGGAATACTTTGATGCTAGATGATCTTACTGTGGTACAACCCATGGTTTGGTACCTCAAGTTCACAGTCTGTGAATCATGTAAAAGAAATCTCACGCCTTGTCCCTGCCCTTGGGGTCTCCTGTTGACCTCCCTGAGTGTTCTTTAAAACTCCAGGAGGAAGGGTATTTCTGACTGGGCCGGGATTAGACCCATTATGCTCCCTAGTCCATTTGTCAGACTAAATTCAGCCAAATGGTAAATACTATGGGCCAGAAGTGAATCTTGCATACATTTTTATGGAGTTGCTCTTTGTAAAATCATAACCTCTTGTCTTCTCAAAGGTAGCTATTTAGGATTATTGAAAACTATTTTTTCCCTTCTAAAATGAAAACCCCAAATCAGTGTACTGTTGTGAATTATTTCAGACGTAAATGGACTTAGATGTCAATCAAGCTACAGTTGGAGTTGATGAAGTATTAAACCAAAAAAACCCCAAAAAACCATCAGCCAGAAGAAGATGGTGGCTGCTCCCCCCGCCCCCAACTGAGTGTGTCCTTGTCTCCAGGACCCAGCAAGCCAGAGCAGGGAAAGAATCAATGATTTGGAACTAAGTTCTCTTCTATAGAGACATTTTACAGCCTGCCCCACCCCCCAGCTCTGTATGCAAACTTGCAACTGTTCATTAGTCTTGTTTTTTTGTGGCCTGTCTCTGAGGTTGACCTTAGAATTTGCAAAGTGATGACAGAACCAGCAGACACTGACTGCATCTCCAGAACAACTAAATAGGATCTGAGGATGACATGAGGTACTGTGACGTTCTAGGTGTTTCAGGGAAAAAGTTTCACCAGCAGAATACCTGAATTTATGTATGTGTGAGAGATGTTGGTAATTTTTTTAAAAACTCTGCATTATGGAAACATTTAAATTTATTAAAACATGCATATATCCTCACCCAGCTCCAGCTATTGTTTCATCTGTACCTCTTCCTGGCTCTGCCGCTGGCTGTGTGTGTTCTGATAACTCTAGGACGATGGGTATTCCAGACAGGGGAGGAGTCAGCTCTATCATGCTCCCTAGGCCATTTGTCAGATTAACTTCCCATATTAGTTTGAAGCAAATCTCAGACATGATATCATTTCATGTGTAAATATTTTAATATGTGTATGTTTTTAAAAAGGAAATATAAACAATAGAGAGACAGCATAAAAGTGACCAGGAAGTCTTAAGAATCCCTCTCCACTTCTAATCTTTTATTATGAAAATTTAAAATCACAACAAATGTAAAAAGAAGAATATAATGAACCTCCATTTTCCCCGTCACCCAGCTTCAGTAGCTGCCAACACATGGCCACTTTATACCCACATTCACTCCCCGTTCTTAACGCCCACTGGATTATTTTAGGGCAGATCCTGGATATCATAATTTCAGCCATTAAATATTTTTGTATGTATTTCTAAAAGAAAGGGGCTTAATAGTTAAAAGAAAGGGACTCACTAGCACCTTGTAACTAATTTAAAGAGAGCTTAACTAAGGTTTTTATGAAAAAAACCTTAAAAATGAAGACTTGACAACTGCCTAATTTTTTGAAAAACATCACAGCTGTACTGAGATAGAATTCACATTCCATAGAATTCAACCATTTAAAGTGTGCAATTCAATGGTTGTGGGTAAATTCACAGAGTTGTGCAACCATCATCACAATCGATTTTAGAATATTTTTATCACCCCTAAAAGAAACCCTGTAGCGATTAGCAATCACTTCGCGTTTCCCCCTCACCCTCTTATCCCTAGGCAATCACTGATCAATCTATTTTCTGCCTCTATGGATTTGTTCTGGAGATTTCATATAAATGGAATCATACGATATGTGGTCCTTTCTGAGTGGTTTCTTTCACTTAGCATAATGTTTTCAAGGTTCATCCGTGTTTGTGGCCTGTATCAGTACTTCATTCCTGTTTATTGCCAAATGAGATCCTACTGTATGGATATACCACGTTTTATTTATCACTCAGGTTTTATTGGCATATGAAACTAGGTAACAGTGCCAACTTAAGTCTAAGGTTACCTCAAACCCGCGTAGGAACACAGTAGAACGATATCCTCATATTTCAAGCTTTGAATGACCATTATGTGCCTTAATCTGCTATAAACTAAATGAGCAAATCTTTTGGCGTCAGTAAAAATTCTGCTTGGATATTTGATACAAAATTAAATCAAGGGACAAATATGTTAATTGGAAAGGACTATTTCGTCCAACACGGTATATAGTTCAAGTGTATTTTTTCATATACATCTCTTTAAGTGTTCTCACCTTCAGCCTGAAATTTAGAAGCTTCCTTCACTTGTCTGAACCTTGAAAGTACATTTTATCTACCTGAATATATATTTAAGAAATAAAAAGTCCTATAAAGACTCATTTTTTATACTTCCAGCAAGTTGAAGGGTGTGTTTTTAATGTACTCATTGTTTTTGAGCGCTTTGTTTTGTTTTCTTCCTGGTATCCTTGGTTAATGACTCAATCTGTTAGTATTACCAAAGTTCATGGAGCTAAGAGATCAGGTTTGACTCCAGATGGATGGCAGAGAGAAGATCTCGACGTCCATGTCCAGGCTATGATGTCCTGGCTCCTGATTTGGGGGAACATATTGTTAATACTAGATTCCCCTGGGATTACGGGGGACCCAGCCTACCACACTGTGTTAGATTTAATGAAAGAGTAGAGAGAGTTGCATTGGTTTGCGTCTCCTTCAAAAAACAAAATTCCTGACTCTGATGACATATATGATCCTTGGGAGATATTTCAGGCACATGGTGAGGAATTGGTTATTGTTCTTGGCCCTCCTCTGGGAGCCCACATCTCTTTTATTGTCCGCATACATTCATGTCTCTCTGCTTGAAGTCACTGACTGGCACTCATGGTCACCCATCCCTTGAGTCTGTGATTCTTTGGTAAGATTCCAGTTCCTTGTAAAGAAACAGACATTGGTGAACCTTAAGGTAGATCTTTTTTTTTTTTTTTAATTGCAATGAAAAAATGTAAAAAGGAATGAATGGTCCAAAGGAGGAACTAATGCAAAAATTCTGAAGTCTCTACTAGTTAAACAACAGTCAATACATTTTTTTTACCATAGCTATCAAAAACTTCTTTAATATTTAAGAAGCATTTTGAATATAATTTTTGTGATGAATTTTATTGATTTTCTTTGGTCCTTTGTTTTAAATGACAGCAAAATTACAATGATAAAATCTTGAGCAAGTGATTGAGCCTCCCAGCCTCAGTTACTCATCTGGAAAATGGGCGGGATGATTCTTGTCTCAAAATTAATTTTGTGAGGGTGTAATTAGAGAACATTTAGGAGAGTGCTTCGCTGTTGTGCCGTGGCACTAGGCCTGGCACATAGTAGAACCTCTATCAATATTTTTTAAATATCCAGGCAATATTTTATTAAAGTAAGGTGAACAGGCCATTTTTTTTTGTGGGACATTCTGGTAATCATCATGTATATGTTAGAAATATTCAGTTGCCCACTTCCTCAGGTTTTTTTATGAGTCATGCTGGACAAATAGGGAAGAATCATATGTACACACACACACTGTTTTTATTTAATTGCCAGTGTAAAAGCTATAGGGCAAGATAGGTTATTGAGAGTTTGATGATTGTGTGCTTATTTACAAGATAAACATGGGACATTTACAACATGGCTCTTTTTTTAAATCTCTGGTTAGATACAGCAAATTTTGTCAAATAATCC